ATGCCAAGAGGGAGGATGATATGTGATGAGATTACAGGATTACACATAGCTCAGATCATTCGGAGATTTTACTCCAGGTGCTAATAGGACCACTGAAAGATTTTAGTTAGGGAAATGATATTTACACTTTTTAAAAACATCACTACAGCTGCTATGAGAATGGCCTGGAAAGAAGGGGCAGGACTGGATGATGTGAGACACAATTTGTTTATCAAAGCAAAAAGTGATAGTGACTTGGAACAAAAAACAAATGAAATAAATATGTAAAGAAGCATATTTTTCCATCGAAGGTCATTCAGAAAAACAGCAGGCCTTGAGAAGGAAGATAAGACCTCCAGGGAAAGAGTAAAAATGACATTCTAAGCAAACAAAATGCTAAATGGCAAGATGAGCAGATTACTTGTGTTACAATGCATGGTTAGGGAGCAGCAAACAAGGCCCAAAGCAGCCAGGCCTTGTTTAATATATTAAATATAGTATATAAGATAATGAGGCTGATGCCAGATTGTAACGGGCCTTACACATAATGCCTGGCCCTTTATAGAAAAAGTTGATCAATTCCTGGTCTGGCCTAAAATCTTGGCTTACAGTTTGCAAGAATACAATCAGTTTCAGTTTCCTTTACCCTCAATGAAGAGGGCATGTATATAAATAAAATAACTGTAAATCAGCCACGGTTTCTGGGGTTTTGGAATATACAAAATCTATAATCCCAACAAACACATTCGGTAAGGTCTAGAAACTTGGTATATCTCACAGTACATCAACTTCTATGGATTTGAGCTCTAACAACTGGATCCTATGGAGTAAACCCCACACAGGTTCAAAATATCATAGGCCTAATCAAAACCCTGTGTATACCAAGGAATCTTTAAGCAGACTTGCATTGCTTAAAATCCCATGTATCAGTGTCAGATACAGTTAAGTTTCTCTTCACATATTTGGCTTGTTAACTTGCTTGTTCTTTGTTCTTAAGATCAACTTCCTTGTACTTTCCTGCTTCCTAGTTACCTGCTGTGCAAACTACCCGTCCCACCACAATGGACCTTCCCACCACTGTAACCCACACCCCTCCTCTGTTTATTATAGCCAATCGGGATTAGTTTAGATTGTGCAGTCTGACCTCAACCAACGGGGAAAAGACACAGAATCAAGGACCAGCTGTGTTGGGGATAAAACCCCCTTCCCTCCTTTGTTCAATGTGCTCTTGCCATCATTACTGATGCAGGCAGCACCCTCCTACAGAAGTAAGTTGCCTTGATGACAAAACTTTTTGCCTAAGTGCTCGTTTCCTTTGTGACTCCAAGCTCTTATTTCTAACATCAGGAACTGATGATCAGCAATAAAACCAATTAGGATAACCTAGAACAGTTATATTTTACATTTACCAGACCCATGCTGCTCATGATAGAGTCCTAAATTGTATTCTAAGAGATTTACCAATTCTAAGAAATCCTGAATTGCTCTGGGCCTCTGAATGTTTGCTGCATTGGCAACCGAAACATAAAATACTTAGGGCTGGTTGCGGTGGCTCACACCTGTAATCCCAGCACTTTGGGTGGCCGAGGCAGGTGGATCACCTGAGGTCTAGAGATTGAGACCAACCAGGCCAGCAGGGCAAAACCCTGTCTCTACTGAAAATACAAAAATTAGCCAGGCATGGTGGTGTATGACTGGTATCCCAGCTACTCAGGAGGCTGAGGCAGGAGAATCACTTGAACCTAGGAGGTAGAGGTAGCAGTGAGCCAAAATCATGTCACTGTGCTCCAGCCTTCCAGACGAAGTGAGCCTCCGTCCCCCCTGCCCCCCACCAAAAAAACTTAGGCACTTGCCACTACTACGGAAAACTGAACAACAGTAAAGAAACTAAGATCCCCTAGTCCACAGATTTCCAAACCAGGCTGGACATCAGTGCATCTGTGCAAATTCCAGGAAAAATATTTTAACTAAAAATCTTCACTATACAAACTATAAATTACAGCACTTTAATTTCACCCTAACAATTCTAACTGAACAGATACTACATATTCTTATAGATACCATATTTTAATATTTATCATTTTACTTACAAGCAAAGCACTAGAATCTCCATTCAGTTGACTATCATCTCGTGATTTCACATAACGACGATGGTTTTGATAGAAATTAGACAGTCCATAATACATAAACACATTGCCCTAGAGAAACAGGAAAAAAATTTCAGGTAAAAACTTCTGTATAAGTGTATTGCATGTGTACATAAAAGCTATATGATTTGAACTTTATTAGTTTACAATTTGTGATAGGTAGTGGGGGGTAAATTCTACCGGTACTTAGCAATCTAAAATGGCAAAACAACAAATAAGGTCAAAGAAAGGTATGTTACAAAAATCCACAAGTAAACTTTAAAACTATCCTTAAAGATGTCAAAGAAGTACTATTTACATTTAGAAAGAATCTTCAAGGAATCTATTAGCCTACTTTGAGCTACCTTCAATTTAAAATTTTCTCTAATTCAAACTGATCTTCACCCAATTAGTATCAACTTTTCAAAGTAATAATGGTCAAACTTGGTTTTTTTTCCCCCAGAGACTGGAGTCTTGCTATGTTGCCTGGGCTGGCCCTGAATTCCCCAGCTAGAGCTATTCTCCTGCCTCTGTCCCTAAAAGCTGGGAGGTGTGCATTACAGGCTTATAGTACAACATCGAGCTGAAACTTTCATTTTTTTGTACAAGTAAATTCTGAACTTGAATTGGGTATAATAAATTCCTCAATAGGACACTATGTAATATTATGAGTTAATAAACTACTAATTAGTAGAGTCTCTATGATAATAAGCCACTTTATAGTAATCAAGAAAAGTACTTTAATATATTTAACAAAGTCAACATTGAAATAACCTGGGAAAGAAGGGTAACCTATATACATTGCAGTTATTTAGAAGATGCTAAGAAGCCATCTTAAATGATTAATATTTTTAGAAGTAGCATACATTAAGCTATTTTCTCCTTTCTGGTTGCTACCTCTATTTTCTATATTCTTATCCTTAATTAAAAGTAATTCAGTAACATTATAAGTATACTTCATTTGATTTGCTGTTTTCATATACACTGTCATTTATTTAATGCTTGACTCTCAATGTCAAACCATGCAAATTTTCCCATTCTATATAAAGAAAATATTTACATAGAAATCTTTTTGTGGAAGGGAGGGAATAACAAAGTTACATCACAGAAATGGAGACAGTGAATATTCTTTTTTAAAAGGAAGTATTACCTCAAGATTCAGTACAGTAAATTCAATTTTAAACCGAAAAAGAGATTCTTTGAATGAATACTGAGACAAAACAGCCTAACTGAAGTTCCCCGAAAACAGTTTAGTCCAGTTCAACATGGGAGCTTGTGAAGGAACAAACAATTCACAAGAGAATGAATTTGAGGTTGACTGCCTTTGCAAAAAACAAGTTTTGAAGTGTTTTTTGAATGGGAGAGAAAACTAATGGAGCTTCTCTATCACTACTAGTCTCTCATTTCTTCAATTATGCCTGTTCTGACAAAAGCAGAACTTATTGCATCTTTTTTGTTGTTGTTGTTGTTGTTGAGATGAAATGTCGCTCTTGTCCAGGCTGGAGTGCAATGGTGCAATCTTTCTGCTTGAATCAGGTTCAAGTGATTGTCCTGCCTCAGCCTCCCGAGTAGCTGGAATTAGAGGCGACTGCCACCACGTCGGGCTAATTTTTACATTTTTAGTAGAGACAGGGTTTCACTAAGTTGGCCAGGCTGGTCTGAAACTCCTAAACTCAGGTGATCCGCCCACCTCTGCCTCTGAAAGTGCTGGCATGAGCCACCACCAAGCCCAGCCAACTTATTGCATCTTTATTGTATGCCCATCACATTGAGAAATCATGGACTTGTAAAGATGCTTTAAATGTCTAATCTCTGCTGAAACCAAGTTAAATAATTATATTTGTCTTCTACCAAATTTGTTTTCATGTTTTATTCAAAGGCAGCATTATCCTGTCCTTTATCTCAGTGCAAGAGCATCTATAACCACTAGATGGCAACCAACTACTGGGAACTATTAACGTCATCACTTTAGAAAATCTTATGTGCAGAAAATCTAAAAGGTTGGCACGTATTAATGCAGTTTTGCTCTCTAAAGAATAACTATTTTAAGCTCAATTTTCAGGCACAGGAGAGTATAAAGAGGTCTTTTCACACCTTTTTTGAATGTTTATGTCCTTTGGCATGTGCTTAGAATGGCAGATCAGTGTAAATGCAAACAGATGGATTTCTAACTACTTATAAAAATATAAATGATCAATAAGGTTTTAATAGGTGCATTTTTTATAATCCTTCATGTGTCATAAAAATAATTCAATTAAGTAATGGGAGAATTCGTATTTATTATCTGAAGTAAAGTTTGCTTTAGTATTTTAAGTATGCAAAACTATTTGAGCAATAATTTTAAAAATACAAGTATATATAACTTGATATAAAATTTATTTGTACATTCATCAAATTATCTAGTAAAAGAAAAAAATACAAGGTCTTAAATTTTGTCTACAAAGTACTAAAACATTCAAATAAACATATTTAATTAACAGACAGCAAAATCCAACAGCCAAACATATAAAACAATCTCCCTCAAAAGCCTATGAACTCTGGCAAATTAAAGTCACTTCTCTATAAAAAGAAAATACCTAGAGTAAAAGACATTTAGTACCATATCAGTATTTTTTAAAGCATGGCTTTTCTAGCACATTACTTGGAAACACGGACCTCAAATGACTTTTCCAGTGTGAAGTTGATGGTACAAATGCAAGGTGTCACATCCGGAGATAAACATTTATTGCAGGGACTGGACGGCTCTGTTCCGGTATAATCAATCTGCAAGAGAAAAATATAACTAAGCACTTCCTTAGAGAAAGTGGATGCCTAAAACCCTCTGAAATAACTTGCTATTAAAAGAAAAATTAAGTCCAATGAAGCAACCTAGAGCCCAGACAAAAACTATTGTTAAGGTCATCTGTTTTAATAGTGTGAGTCAGTAAAAACTGGAAAGGGTCCTCTGTTGTTCTACTGGCTGATCTTTCCAAGTAGTCTTCGCTTCTTTTTATCAAAGAAATATATTTATACATATAAAATTCAAAACTGCATGATAAATATTAATAGCTAAAACAGCTAAACTATTAAAATACTACATTAATAGAGATCGGTAAATCAGCTTTTCCTCTTAAATCTTTCAATCTTAAATACTTCTCAGCCACCTCAGCTTTCCATGATACACTTTTGAAAAAAATTAGGTTATCAAGAGCTACTATTTTTCCAGCACCTGGTCTTGAATTTGTCTGTCTTGGGTTCCTGGCAAGCAGCTTCATGCTTGGAATTTCCCAGGTGATAAAAGGATCTTTGTTATTCATAAGCGCCTTGATTCACACCAGGGTTTCTGTTAACAAGACGGCTCAAAATAGCAGCTAGTCACCAGAAAGACTAATTGTTTGATTAGGGGCCTTTGGCCCAACCCAACCTCTTAGGAGGAAAGTGGGGCTAAAAATTTATTTCAATCAATTAGTCAATGTTCAATCAATAAAGCCTACATCATGAAGTCCCAAAAGAAACGCTAGACACTGAAGTAAAGGAGAGCTTTCTGGTTGGTGAATCCACTGATGTGCTGGGAGGGCTATGTGCTCTAAGTATACAGGGAGAGGGCTAAAAGCTCTGCATTCAGGACGCTCTAGACCTTGCTATATGTGTCTTCTAGGAACCCCTCTGAATATATAGTCAGTTGGTCAGAAATATGGGTGACCTGGAGATCCCTGAGCTTGCAAATGGCATCTGATGTGAGGGAAATCTTATGGAGAGGTAGTGAGAAGGGTCTGGGAACCCCCTGGATTTGGAGCCAGTTGACAAGTAGTATGGGGTGGCCTGGGAACTTGACTCGCAGCTGGTGTCTGACGTGGAGGATGGTCTTGCTGAGGACCATGCCCTTCAAACTGTGGAATCTGACACTAATTCAGGGTGGTTGGTGCCAGAATTGAATTGCAGTATACTGGTTGATGTCAGAAGATCTGGCCTGATGGCTAAATTGAAAGGCTTTTTCTCCCCACCGCTATAAACATTTTTAATAGACTACTTTTTCTAGTTTAAGGTTCTCAGCAAAATTGAACCCAGTAAGAGTTCCTATATACCCTCGGCCTCTGACACACATATAACTTCCCCCATTATCAACATCTCACACCACAGTGGTACATTGCTACAACTGACGAACCTACATTGACACATCACCATCATCCAAAGCCCACAGTTCACATTATGGTTCACACTTGGTGTATATTCTATGGATTTTCACAATGTATAATGAGTATCCACCATTATGTTCTCATACAGAATAGTCTCTGTCCTAAAAAAAAAAAAAAAAAAAAACCTTGTACTCTGTCTATTTGTCCCTCTCCCTGCTAACCCCTGGAAAGGACTGATCTTTTTACTGTCTCCATAGTTTTGTCTTTTCCAGAATGTTATATATGAAATCATACTGTATGTGCCCTTTTCAGATTGGTTTCTTTCACTTAGTAATATGCATTTAAGATTTTATACATCTTTTCATGGGTTTATAGTTCATTTATTTTTAGCAATAAATAATACCCATTGTCTAGATGTGCCACAGTTTATTGATTTGTACATCTACTAAAGGACATTTTGGTTGCTTCCAAGTTATCAAAATTATGAATAAAGCTTTTAAACATCCATGTGCAGGTTTTGTGTGGACTTAAGTTTTCAGCCCACTTAGGTAAACACAAGGTGTGCAATTGCTGGGTCATATAGTAAGAGTATGTTTACTTTTGTAAGAAACTGCCGAATTGACTTCCAAAGGAGATGTACCATTTTGCATTCCATCATAATTCCTGTTGCTCCACAGCATTTGGTAGTGTCAGTTTCGCATTTCCACCATTCCACTAGTATGTGGTAACGTGTCATTGTTGTTGCAACTTGCAATTCTCTATTGATAGATGATGTTGAGCATTTTTATATGCTTACTTGCCACCTGAATGTTATTAACTGAATGTTTGTCACCCCTCAAATGTCCTATGTTGAAGCTCTAACCCCCAGTATAATGGTATTTAGAAAAGGAGCCTTTGGGAGGTAATCAGATTTAGGTGAGGTCATGATGGTGGAGTCCCTATGATGGGATTGGTGTGCTTGCAAGAAGAGGAAAAAAGACCACAGCTCTCTCAATCTCTATCATCTGAGGACAAAGGAAGAAGGCAGCCATCTACAAACCTGTAAAGAGCCCTCATTAGAAGCTGAATATACCAGTATCTTCACTTTGGACTTCCCAGCTTCAGAACTAGAAGAAATAAATGTTGGTTGCTTAACCCACCCAATGGAAGTTATCACCCAGCTGATTAAGACACTGTATATCCTCCTTGGTAAGGTGTAACATTTAGTTGCTTTTTAAAAATTATACATTTGCTTAACAAAACTTGGTTTTGTCAAATTCCAATATAGCCTCCTGTGGAAACACTTTCCATCAAAACTTATTTGTTTACCGATGAAATTGTTTAGAGAAAATTTTCACTGCAAAATCTAACAAGAGCTAGTCATATAACAAAAACAAATAAAATAAAATCACAAGTCTCCTAAATGAAGAGAGGCAAAGCCTATGTAATCTTTCCCTAGACCTGTTGGGCCACAGCTATGTATCCGGGGCCTATTCATGAATAATTTCCCACTAAAATACCAACTTTTATGATGTTGGAGAGATGAAAGAAAAGACCATTCAGAAAAACGAACTGTATTTTAAAATCTCTGTATATTTTCTCCCTCTAAGACTAATCTAAACATTAAAAAAAAAAGTTGCCAGCTGGACCTGTTCCCATATCGTACACTTTTGAACACAAGCCTCTCAAATCACTCTCTTTAGAATTAGTTTCTAGGGCAAAATCTTCAAGAGAAATCATCAGCTGTGATTCAGCAAAGAAATATATTCTTTATTTAACTGAACAAAAATAATCTGATGGAATTTGAAATCTAATAAATTACGCAACAGTATAATAAAACAATACAACATTTTATTGGAACCAAGAGTAATCACTGAATATTACACATGAACAAAATCAAAGATAGCTATAACATTTTCATCACAATCTGATTACAATTTTTTTAAATGTACAAAAAAATTACATGTCTTTTGATGCCATGAAAATCTGAAAGGACTGTTTAAAAAAAGCATTATCATTAATATATTAAGCCTATGTGTAAGGCATGACATTAGGTACAAGATCCATACAAAAGCAATTATACGTTACACAGTTTACACAGCCTTTTCCTTCACACACATATTTCATCTGACCCTCACCAAAATCATATAATGTTATCTCCATTTTATATAAAAAGAACACATTCAGAAACTTGTCCAAAGTCCTAGCTAGCGCTAGGCTGGAACCAAAGACTTCTAACTCCAAGCCTTACGTTCCTTCTACTAAACTGTTTTTCCCCAAAAATAGCCCCGTTTGCCCTCTAGCAGACTACTTTATCAAAAATAACATACAAATACCAAGAAAACTACCATAAAATGCTAAGTGCCAAACTGGATGGCAAAGAGCAATAATAAAAAGATGGGCCAGTACTTCTTTCTTACTGAGAAGCAGCAAAGATTTGAACAGAGTCATAAAAGAAAGATGGAAGAAAAAGAGGTGGCATATGGAGAAGAAAAGGTGGAAAGCACGGGGCATATTTAAGAATAATAGCAAAAACATTTTGGATTTATGGAGAGTTTTCATGTTGGAAGGAGAAATGAGATAGCTAAGAAGGTAAACTGGAGCCAAAATTATATACTGTATTTCACTGACTACTGTTTATTGACTGTATACTAAGTGCCAGGCATTATAAGCACTTAATACACATCATCTCATTTTAAAAATAAAATTACCCTGGCAAAGTTTGTTTTTATTTCCCTTAAACTAGGAAACTGTCATCTAGCAATCTTCCCAGATCATCCAGCCTAGTAATTCTGGCAAAAGATTCAACCAGCCCTTTCAGACAGACAAACTCAGGAGCTTCAGATTATAAGACTGAAGAGAAACCTCTGATGGATCATTGTAACTTCTTTTGCTGTTATTGTTGTTAAGCTGCCTTGCATTTACAATTCCAAGTTTTGTGGAACTGTCCATTGTGAGTTTTGGAAGGATGCAAGGCTCCACCTCCCATTTCAGACCAAAGGGAGAGAGGGGTTCTTCCTCTCCATAAACCCAGGGTAGCCAGTGTAAAGGTACAAGAGCTAGACTCAGCAATCAGTCACTCCCACCTAAACCAGTGAATCCTGGGAAACAAAGTGTGGGTGAGATTAAATGAGCAGTCACAGCAGTAGTCTTTCAAGAAAAATTCAACAGCAGCTGTGGCATCTGCATCAGACTACTCATGCTTTCAAAACTCCCTGACTTCCCACTTGCCTTCAAACCTGATTCTCTACACTCCCATCCATTTTGTGTGGGAGTTACCCAATCCTCCTTTAATAGTTTCTTTCCTGTCTAAGCTACCCAGAGCTGGTTACTGCTGCTGACAATAAAGCCTCAGAAAGCTAAGTAACCCTGAGTGTTAAAATGTCCTGAAGGAAATAAGGAACTTAAGAGAGTTCTGAGGAGAATAACATAATGAAATATTTGCATATAAACAGATTAAAAGAGTTTAGGAAATGGGACTTTCACTTCTTTCTGAATGCCCATCATGATGTAATCATGCACCTAATATTTATGAGTACCTCTATGGTCCTAGCAATGAGGATTCAGCCTAGCACCTGATCTCTAGGAGTTCAGTATCTAACATTGAAAACAACAATAAAATAGAATGGATATTTTGATTAAAAAAAAGTGCCAGCGGTATAGAAATACAACCTAGTCTAGTAGTCAGCAAATTTTTCCACCAGAGCTGCTAAGTAGATGTTAAATAGGAAGATAGTACAAAGAGAGACTATATCCTTGACTGAGGGCTTGACACATTGATATAGTTTCAATATTTGTCGCCACACAAATATCAGGTGAAATTGTGATCCTCAGTATTGGAAGGGGGGCCTGTTGGGAGGTGATGGGATTATGACTAAAGTTTTCTCATGAATGGTTCAGCACCATCCACATTGTGCTGTCCTCATGATAGTAAGTTCTCATGAAATCTGGTTGTTTAAAAGTGTGTGACGCCTGCTCGCTTACACCCACTCTCTCTTTCTTGTTCCTGCTTTCACCAAGTGACAGGACTGCTCCCCCTTTGCTTTCCACTATGATTGGAAGCTTCCTGAAGCCTCCCCAGGATGTCAAAAGGAAACCAAGTATATGTCAGCACCACGCTTCCTGTAAAGTCTGCAGAACTATGAGCCAATTA